CGAAAGGTCGCAAGCTCACACCTTGATTTATGTACACCTATGATTTTGTTTGATTGGTTTATAACAGGCAATAAGCCAGGTCGGGCACTTTTAGTCTCTTTTGTCTTTATTAGTTCTGTCTTATCCTGTCTGTTGGCACAACGGGGCGAGTAATTCCGATGACCGATCAGTGAATGCCAATCTACCGAATTTTATAGTCCCGATCGAACGTGACTAGGCAGCGAGCTCGTGACTTAGTGGGTTAGGGCATTGGACTTCTAAACAGCGGGTCGCTGATTTGAGTAGTGAGATGGAGTATGACTGACTGATGACGCCAAAAAGGCGAGAAATGGCCATTCTAGTCTCTCTGCTCTTTGCCTTCTATATGTTTCTGCCTATACCTATACACGAAAATGATAATGCTTTTAGCGACTTCAATGAAACATTATTATGCACAGTTGCATTTAATTAACGCTTTGCTGCATATATTGAGAACACATTTGATATACGGTTTACGTTTCACATGCCCAAATCATAAGGGTCACTGGAAGGTGTACACGGTACTTACCATTTATTTGCATAATGAGGTAATAATATCGCTCTATTAAATATATTAGCGTTCTGCTCATCTGAATGAACAATGTAGGTTGAAAAACCACGATACTTTTTAATGGAAGCTCACATACTGAACCCAATTAGTAGCACAGAGGTAATGGAAAATCCCATCTACAAAAATATGCCTGACAAATAAAACAACAAAAAAAGGTGCTTTACACGATAAGCGCCTTTTGTAAAGAGGTACTGTTAATTGACTGTGAAGGACCAGCGTAATTTCTGTAATCATCATCTACTTTATTATATTTTTGAATTTTTTACATTTAAAAAATGCTAATAAGGTCAAAATATCCTCTTATTTTGCAATTTTTCTTTTAGCAGTTGAGCTCGTGGTTGATTATCAGTTACTGTTTTTTGCTCTCAGGAGTGTAAATGTCTATTAGTATTAACAATATGATTATACCATTGGCGTTTGTCAGACATGGTTTTGAAAAGAAGCAGTAGAAAGTATTTCGTACTGATTTAAGTCACAGCGATGTCCAGGACCTGCCCGCAAAACGTATGTTTCATAAATTGTGAATGTCTAGTGTCTATTTTATCATGGCTGCAACATCTATAAGTTTCTTTGGACAGGAATGTTGCTTTAAACCGCTAGAAGTTTACAAAGCAAACCAATGTAGCCAAGCAACAATTCTTCTAAATGCACTGCTGCGGACGCTGCTCGCAAAATTAAATTGATTAACTTTCTAGCTTTAGTTGTTAAACTATTAAATAAATTGAAATTGCCCCAATCAACTCAGAGTTCTTCTTCGCCGACACTGGCAAAAGTTCTGTGAGAGACCTGTCACCTTACCTTGACTTTACGCAACCGAATCTTTTTTAAAATAATTGTGTTAATTAGTAGCGCATCGTCTACACTGCACAATAATTAATAGCGGTGAGCAAATAAGGTCCTATCAAAAATGCCAATATAATTGGTGTCATAAATGGCAAGTAGTATATAAGCAGAAACTTCACACTTTTGAGGAACAAAGCGGGAATTTTTATTTTGAAATCATAACAGTCAGCCACTGGTAATTTTCCGATTTGGCCGTGCGGTATCTCATTCTGAAATAAGATTTTCTATTTGATTTCACACACCTATAAGGCATGCATTATAGCCTTGAGCATGAGCCGGAAATCCACTTCATATTCTGATAGGTTTTGAAATTACCTTTGTAAAAATTTTACATACGTTAAAGTCCCGATAAGTGCTGAATAAGCAAAAATATCGTATACCATTTTGTTGTAAATATATGTCCTGTTTCGCATCGAAACGTAATAAAATTTCATTTTCTTAAAACATTTCAAAACAAATAGACGCGACTTTATACACCTTTAAACTAAATTGATTTAAAGAAACTAAAAATGTTTCTTAAATCTGGATTTTACGGCAATTACGGCGATGACCTGGAAAATATTGTCATTATGTCCAACACAAACGTCTCAACAACCCTTCACTGTTCTGTTTCACTTCCAATGCATAAAATGCTGAAATATTGCCATCTGCGTTTAACCAGATAAAACTTCAGATTTTATGATGCATAAAAGCACCTGACTAATAAAGCAAGACGCTCCGTGAGTACTATTTAAAATTTGAAAAATCCTGCGTCTTTTTCCTTCGATCCGATGACCACGCAAGGACCACAGAACCTAGTAGTTACCTACAACTAAAAGCTGCCTGATAAAACATGAGCTTTTTTCAAGTGCTTTTGCCATTTTCTAGGGTTGCCGTTTGACATAATTTTAAAATGCACGATACAGGAGTTATACATATTTTTTGTAAATTAGTAAGCTCTCTAGCATGAGAGCATTGCCAATATCCCTTTGGATCAACTTCGCAAAGGCTAAAGTAGACTTGAGAATGAAAAAAGAATCATAACGGACTCTAATGAAGCAGGACATGCAATTTGCCGTCAATCGCCTTTACTTTACTGTCTGACAAAAGCTCCGCATACTCAGAATTACACGCGTCCGTAAAGGCACGCGCGCATAATTTATATTAATTGTATGCGCTGCAACTTGGAGCAACTCGCTCTTCTATCGATCCCGCCTGACTGATGCACGTAGCCGCTCAAGCCAAGTGAACTCTAAAAGCAAGCCACTAAGCTTGCTTCTTTGTCGACTTTAAGACATAACCATCCAGTTTTGAAGTAATAACATATATTGGGGGGAGGGTGGGTTTCCGGAAGCAGAATTTCGGTGTCTTAAATGGAACAAAGAAGAGGGTCAAGATTCGACAGTAATTACAACAGGCATTTTACAATCTGGGCAGGAAGTAGTCGACTTTTAACGTATAAGGATATGCACTGGCTGGACGAAAATTACAGATTCCGCGTTAGTGCAACATGCAGACGACATATTTGAATACATTTAGCCCAAGAGATGCCAATTACGCGCCCAGACGTAGCATGATTAAGTTAACTATTGACGTCTGTGTTAGTAAATCATTTTTATTCACAGTGTCAACCCATGCTTATAGTTCCGATAGAATGTGTATGAATAATGTGGACCAGTCTATGCTAAACTACTTTAATCACTAACTCAGGCACACTATTCGTTATAGCTATGCCATATCTATCAAATATTATATGCCAAAAGAATTTTTCTTTAAAAAGATCAATACGCACTTTCATTAGATTATCAAGTGTTTGTTCGTAACTATATGAACGCATAAAAACAACAACTTTTTTAAACTGGTCGTTTACGCTACAACCATTTCATTTGAAAGCTGCTTGCCACGATGTTGTATTTTTGGAGTATGATGGAATACACTTTATTTGCAAAATGCATTGAATGAAGAGATGTGCTCAGTAAGAGATCTGTAAGATGATTGTAAGAAGTGAGATGTATTACAGGTATTTAAGCTGTCAGGT